TTTGCCGACTTTGACTCCCATTTTAGGCCAATTACATTATTCCAATCAACCAAATTCTTAGCTATTTCACTAGTATTACTTCTATTCTATCGATTGAGCACAAGAAATCGCCAAGTCAACTGTTTCAACTACAAAATAAAGTGATCGGAAATTGTTAATTTGGCCAATTTAACACAAAGTTCAAAATATTCCAATTTCAAAATAGGGTCCAGAATGAACAATGTAGGCATTCCTGGCACTAAACTAACATTTCCTCTGTTCATTAGTTATGTTTTGAGGCTTTACAAAAAAATTCCATTTTGATTTTTTATTCACATACTGAATTTTTATTCACACCAAAAAATAGAAGATTTACTGTTATGCAATATTGTAATAATTGTATAAATATCATCACCATATTTGTGAATGTATATTAGACCCACCAGCTGACGTGTATTAGATGTGTGAGGTCGTTTGTTTACTCTTGAATATCGGCAAAAATTTAACATTTCTGCTACTTTGAGCTCAGTTTCAAGCCATTTCCAGTGCTAAAACCAATCAAAATCATCTTTATTTCTGTAATATGTCTTCCATTCTATCAAATGAGACCAAGAAATCGCAAATACAAATATAAAAAACATACGAAAAAACACTGCAAAGTTGCTGTTTTAATCGAAAAATCATGATTTCATTTTTTTCTCTCATTATACACAGTGTGCTGCAGGATCTGTTTTATGTGGTGCACACATACCACATAGATGTATTCTCTCATATCTAGGCCCAAATGTACCACTCACAGTTTATCAGAGTGAGCTGAGCTCATGGCGTAGATCTACGGTTTGGACCCTGAATGTAAAGCCGTAGATCTACGGGACGGACCCTGAAAGGGTTAAAGGTAAGTGTTATGCTGTTAATGTTTCATTCATCATTTCCCATTGTATTGCTTATGTACTACATGCATATTTCATGTAAAAAGTTTTTTTGTTTTAATACTTCTGGGTGCCAGGAACGGATTAATTGTATTTACATTATTTCTTATGGGGAAAATGGATTTGCAAATCGTAAATTTCGTTTATAGTAGCTCCTCCAGGAACGGATTAATTACGAAAAACGAGGGACCACTGTACATTCCCCAGAGAGAAATTAGGTCTAATAATAATGATCCCAAATGGGTTAAGTCCCCGGGTCCCGATGAGCTGTTTTCCAGGGTACTTAAGGAATGCAAGATGGAGCTTAGTCAGCCATTAATGAGTGTGTTTAATGCGTCCTTCCTTACCGGTGTTGTGCCAGAGTTGTGGAAGATGGCTAATGTGGTTCCTATATTCAAATCAGGGGATAAGTCCGTTCCTTCAAATTACCGTCCAATAAGCCTGACATCTATAGTGGGCAAGTTATTAGAATCAATTATAGCTGACATTATTAGAGTCACCTTGAAGAGCATAACTTGATAAATGAATCTCAGCATGGATTCACGAGAGGTCATTCCTGCCTGACAAATTTACTGACGTTCTTCACTAGAACATTTGAGGCAGTTGACAGTGATAAAGAATATGATATTGTTTATTTGGATTTTAGTAAAGCCTTCGATAGAGTACCTCACAAGAAACTCTTAAGAAAAGTGGCAGCTCATGGTATAGGAGGTAAAGTTCTAGCATGGATAGAGGCATGGCTTACCAATAGAAAGCAGAGTTACAATTAATGGAGTGAAATCTGAATGGGGATTAGTCACTAGTGGCATTCCACAAGGATCAGTTTTAGGCCCTCTCTTGTTCATAATTTACATTAATGACCTTGATGAAGGGATTATGAGTGACATGAGTAAGTTTGCTGATGATACAAAGATAGGCCATACAATTCATTCTGAGGAGGATAGCAATAAGCTCCAGGAGGGTTTGGACAAATTAATGTCTTGGTCTGAAAAATGACAGATGAAGTTCAATGTCAATAAGTAATGGTAATGAAAATAATTGGTAATGAAAATAACCCTCGAAGCTATAATCTAGGTGAAGTAGAGCTTGATCATACAGAATGTGAAAAAGACTTGGGAGTCATGGTAAGCAGAAATCTAAAGCCAAGACAGCAGTGCCTTAGTGTGTGCAACAAGGCTAACAGATTACTTGGATTTATCTCAAGAAGTATAAGTAACAGAAGTTCAAAAGTTATTTTACAGCTCTATACATCACTAGTGAGGCCTCATTTAGATTATGCTGCTCAGTTTTGGTCCCCTTACTACAGGATGGATATAGACTCATTAGAGAACATACAGAGAAGAATGACTAAAATGATTTACTGTGTAAGGAATCTCCCATATGAAGATAGACCTAAAGCCTTAAATCTCCACTCTCTGGAGAGACGAAGAATGAGGGGAGATATCATTGAAGTGTATAAGTGGATGACAGGCATAAACAAAGGAGATATTAATAAAGTACTGAGGGTGTCGAACCAGGTAAGAACCAGAAATAATGGATTTAAGTTGGATAAATTTAGATTTAGAAAGGACATAGGTAAGTACTGGTTTTCTAACAGTTTTTGATGCGTAGAACAATCTTCCCAGTAGGGTGATAGAGGCTAGGACCTTAGGTGGCTTTAAGAAGAGATTGGACAAATATATGAGTGGGAGGGGCTGGGTTTGATTGATGTCATTGGGTATGGGAGTTATTTCTTGGGTAGCTTTAGGTAGAGGTCGTTTTGATAAGGACCTGCCTCGCATGGGCCAGTAGGCCTTCTGCAGTGTTCTTCCATTCTTATGTTCTTAAAGGTACCTAATGAATTAAGTACAAAAAGGGAGGAGAATGATTTCTTGTATAGCTAACATTTGTTATTATTATTATGGGGAGCACTAAACCCATAGGGATTATACAGCACCTGTGGAGGGTATAGAAGGCATTCACGCTTAATTCAGGAAATTAGAGCATAGATCCAATTCCCTAGCTCAAAGAACCTTCCCTGAAGGGAAGCTAACATTTGTGTACCTATCATTGTAAACTGATCCCAATGGGAATAAGTCACATTGACTTTTTGAGGGGTTATCCTAGGTAATCTACACATATGCTGCTATGTATGATAATTTATATAACTGTACTTATGTGTACCTGTACCTAAATAAACTTACTACCTGGCAGTTGATTCAGAGCTATTGTTAAAAAAAAACCTCATCTCTCTAACTTAACTAAGACAGCAACACACAACAAACAAAACCAGCTCATCCAATTGTGTCCCAGTTTTTCCAGTCTTCCTTCAACTCCCATACAAAATTGATAACAAATCTTGTCCTACTGTATTTCTATTGTAACTAAGCAACTTGCTGTATCTTCACTATCTTTATTCAATCACTCCGCAAAACTGAAGATCACTGAATTAGTATGAAATATGTAATACTTTTGTAACTGCCTATTTGTTCATTAGCTGTGTTTCTTATGGAACTTATGATTATAGTTAACTGCATAAAAAATCCTACTTAATAGCCTATGTCTAAATCTAGGTCTAAATCTTTAAGTAACACTTAAGCCTTAGGATTAGTTTGCCTGAAATACATTGCATACTAATGGCTTTCTTTTGTGTCTAACAATGTTTTATTATATGTAAACTACTTTATTTTTGCCACATAATGAAATAAAATTTGTATTATATTGTAATATATATAATAAAAAGTAAGGGTCAGAGACTGTTCAAGAGAAAAATGGATGGGCATGTTACACTTTATTTAGATTTTAAGAAAGCTTCAGTCAGGGGTTGCTAGTGACGCCAAGTAAGTAATATTCTGAGCAGTCTGAGGATTAATATACTCACAAGAAAGTGCCAAACCCGAATATCTGAGAAAATGTGAACAGTGACAAGATAAACTTGAGATTACATAAAGTGAAATAAAAAGGGCAGCTGGAATAAAATATTATTTGCACTTTGTCTCAGCAGCTCAAGTTTTGTTGCTGTAAGAATTAACAACTGGGCATCTACATTGCAAACTGAACTGTTTGCAATCCTAATGGTGCTAAAGCTAACTTATGACACTGAAGGCTCTTGACTCATATAATGGCTCCAACAACATGCTCATTGGAGAAGCCAGGTATAGATACTCAAAAATCAGGGACAAAGGAATTAATGTACAATTGCAATGTATCCCATCACACACTGGATTACTCCTTCATGATAAAGTTGATATGTTAGCCAAGAAGAGTACCCAGAAGGAGAATGTAGAATATAACTTTGGTATATCTGCGTCTAGCATTGGGAATAATATTAGGAGAGAAGTAAATAATGAAAATGATTGTGATAGGAATGCAGTTAGAAGCCTGAGTAGATCTATAACCCACTATGATAACAGGAACATAGATAAGTATGTTTATGGAGCAACTTGCAATGTGAACAGACTGATGCTGACTGATGCTGTAGTGGCCAGGCTTAGGCTTGGTTACAAGTACTTCTGGCAGTTTGGGAGACACACAAATGATGATCAAACTAAATGTAAATTATTTGATCAGGCATATGGTCACTGTCCTGAACACTATGTGCTTAATTGTCCACTTATTGAGGAATACAGAGATAGTATAATAACTTATGTGACATGTCAAGATATCTTATTAATGAAAATAAGATACCAGATATACTAAACAAATTTCCTAAATTTGCTTGTAACAGATAAGCGAACTATAGATATGTAGATATAAATCCATATGTACTCCTGTTAACCCTTTTGGGGCCTAGTTCCTAGGCCTTTTGTGTATCCATATACTCTTGCGCTACCGTCCACAGGATGGATATAGAGTGCACAATAAACTAGCCACTTCGGTGGCAAAATCTATCTAAATCCTGAGACCAATGGAACTTGTCCTTAACAACAATCACCTAATTTGTACAAGTGATTATCACATAAAAACATGACATCATTTGAGATCCATTCATACCGTGTCCCGGTACAAACCTTATAATAACTTCGCAATGCGTCAACCTCCCCACCCCCCCAAAAAAATACTTGTTTATCATAAGGTAAGAAGATGCCATTAAGGGTATTGATCGAGGAATACCTCTTCATTAGTGGTCTGTCCGGCCTTGCGAATAATATCCTCCATCTCGAGGATGTTGCCAGTGCTGAGCACAACTTTCCGCAGCTGCTGGGAAGACATGGTGCCTCTTAGGAGTGCCACACACGTGCCTGTACTCAGTGCCAGGTGTAGCAAATGATAAGGTGCCTCTGGTGCCTCGCCGCTCAGCACAGGCGCACTGCCTTGGCTCTCTCACATGCCTCTCCTGCTGCTGTTGTCCCTCTCAGGCTCACACCTCACTCAGCATGACTCAGCACCTCTTCTGCTTACTAAACCTCTCACAATAAACATGACTGACGTCAAACATACACACACACACACACACACGGGGCCAGGAGCTGAGCCTCGACCCCTGCAACCACAATTAGGTGAGTACACACACAGACACACACACACACACACACACACACACACACACACACACACACACACACACACACACACACACACACACACACACACACACACACACACACACACGCACACACACACACACATATATATATATATATATATATATATATATATATATATATATATATATATATATATATATATATATATATATATATTATATATATATATATATATATATATATATATATATATATATATATATTATCCCAGTAGAATAAAGTTATTTTCATTTTGGGGGGTTATCCTAGGTAATTTACATACGTTACTTTGTATGATATTATAATTATTATTATTATTATTATAATCAAGGGGGAAGCGCTAAACCCGGATTATACAGCGCCTGAGGGGGGGATGTGGAAGGCATTCAGACTTAATTCGGGGAACTGGAGCACAGATCCAATTCCCTAAATCAAGAGCCCCTCACCAACATCAAGGAACCTTCCTTGAGGGGACTTTGATAATTTTACTTGTGTGTACCTATACCTATATAAACTTACAAAGTGACTAAACAACTGCAGATGCTTCCTACATTATTTTTTATGAAAATAAGTCACACTGGCTTTACTGGGTTATCTTAGGTTAAATAAATGTACGTGTTGCACATTGTATGTGCCCACCATATATGTCTGCATTCAAGACAATTGTAAAAGAATTCTGTTGTATGTTGCCAAAGCCTAACTCCTTACTTTAACTTTAAGATTTTAAGGATACTTTGCTCTAATAAACTTATGTAAATGTTTATTTATGTCTCATGCATATTTTTTTTAATTTTCTACGAAGGTTTATATAGTAAATTGTCTAGAATAGAACCAAGGATAACCCAGTCAAATCACTGTATCTCATTTCCACTGGGTCCTTACCTCAGTATGTCAAAGTATTCTCGTCCAGAGGTAAAAACCAGCTTATTTTGAGCAAATTTTTTAGAAAACCTTGTATATTAAATATGTCATGAGGTTGAAAGGAATTTTGAACACCATAATTGGTCATGATCGACAAGCATTTTTTATTATGAAAGAAAATGGGAAACATCTTGACGAGTCAACTTGTTTACATCATTTCTCGCGTCCGGGACCATATCTCGGAACCAAGCCTTAGGATTAATATTATTCACATCTGAAAAGAATAACCATCATTTATGACCTATCTTCTGAACATAATTGACCGATACTAAAAGGATTTGTTATAAAGGTAGGTATTTTTTTTAGCCATGTCGAAAGATTTTAATAATGAAATATAATGCCAAAAGCCACTCTTATTGCATCCAGACGACAAATGCAGCCTCCTTGAAGTGTTTATATTTTTGTGTAAGATTATTGGTGATAATCGAGTTATTTTATGGTATTTCGCGATTTATGAAGATGTAAACGAGTCGTAGCAAAGTAGAACAGGCATCTTCTTTAATATTTACATGTTATTTCCTTGATTTGCTTAGGTATTGAGGTTTGGTAAATAGAGATTTCTATCCCAAAGCCCGAATATACAGTGTAATGCATTTAACTTAAGGTTTATCATTTGCCTGGGTATTTCTTATTAGAAATGACTCATGGAGACAGCCAGGGATAGTAACCCAGGATAATGTGAAAAAGTTAAGCAGTGTGATTATTTCCAATGGGGGTCCTTTGCCCTATTCCCCAGAATGCGACCCTTCATAGGGCTAATATTATTATAATAAAAAAGAAGCGCTAAGCCACAAGGGCTATACAGCGCTCATAGGACTAATAGATATTAGAAATTTTTCCCGTGCATCTTGAATTGCCAAAGAATGAACCTAGATCCTTCAGTTGTGAGCCAGACACGGTACCACAGAGTTACATTGTATTAAATGTTAGTATGCAAAATGATTATAACTATGACCATAATTTTTAAAGGGGTGGACCAATAAACCAGCAGAAGGTCTCAGGCAGATAACCAAAAGCTCCAATAGCAGGTCATCATCTGACTAAGACCTGCATCAGGAAACGCTTGTCCTGTTTCCTGATGAACCTTACCTAATGTAACCTAAATGTTAGTTGGGTTTTATGGGTCAACCTGACCCTTATGGGTTTAGTGCTTGGTTATGATTATAATAATACTCTGGGTCAACTTAGGAGAGAAAGGACCTCTATAGATATTAATCACATGCTGACTGATGGATTATACTAGATGGCTCATGGCTTAGTGTTTAGTTATTTCAAAATCTTTATTATGCACCCCATACCCATCCTGTGGGTGGTAGTCTAAAAGATTACAGAGATACATAATAGATCTAGGGACTGGACTGCAAAGTTTTGATAGCTGAACAAGTTACGAATGTAATGAACCATTCACATGTCTACACCTGATCACATTGCAATGAGTTATTAATGCAAATATTAGCTTTATTTACAGTGAGCAAAGTCAGGGTATTTTTCCAGAATGGTTTGTAATATATCACTGTGGATAAAATACTTTGACATGTCTTGAAAATTTCTGAGTGAGTTGTCTCTGAATTCACTCATTTTATTGCATTCCAGTACATAATGACGCAAGGTGTGACAATAATCCATTTGGCAAAGTGTACGTTTTGTTTGGTCTACATCTGATGGTGGTGATTTAACCTGTAACCCAGCCGGAGCTGGGTGGTAGTAACATCCAAGAGTCTGCTTATTTTGTTGGATGCACCATAGACATGTGGCTCCTCCTGCATGATAGAATGGTAATAGATGGACTGACTGGTGTCACTCTCCCTCAGTCTTAAGTCAGTAAAGTTCAGTTGAAGTTCTTTTCATATTATTGTTCTCAAACTGCTGACTGACAAGCCAAGATTGTAAATCTACTTTCTCTTTGAAAGCATATAACTTAGCCAGTTCATTAGCTCTATCATGCATCTGAAGACCAGTATGAGATGAAATCCACAGAAGGTGCACTCTGACTCCACTGTCCACAATCCTGTGTCTGGCTTCTGATGCAAGCATGCCACAATTTATACTTAATGAGTTGAGAGCATTTATAGATGATAGACAAGACAAGACAAGATAGCTTAGGTAAGACCCTTGTGGGGTGAGCTGGGAAGTGGGGATAGGGTAAGAGTAGATTGGTGAGAAGAAGGTTATGAGTGGAAGAGAAATACCAGGGCTTAACCCAGTAGCTAAAATAGATGATAGAGAATCAGTTACAATTAAAGAGACAACCTTCAATACATAGATGCATTTGAGCACAAGGATTATGGCAAGCAGTTCTGCTTGAAGGGTAGTGGTAATGCCTTTGGCTCACAACCAAAATTCATGGGTTTGATATTGGAGTAAGTGGAGATGTTTGATGTGATGTCTTTGCTGGCTTATAGGAGGAATAAAGGAGACAAGATAATCGTGAAGTCATAAAAGGGCATGAAAGATTAGATAGGATTTTTTTATACCTGCATCAGGGATAACAAGAGGCCACAATTGCAAATTGAGAAAAATTGTATTAGAAAATTTTCTTCAGACTCCACGATTTGGACCACAAACAGCCTGAATGGGCTGGAATTAATAAAAGTAGGATTAAATCTCTATTAATCCTTGCACTGAATTACCCACATGGATTCAGAATGTCATAAATATACAGGTCGGCCATCACTAATCCAGCAATCAGTTATCCGGTTCCATCAGTAATTCGGCACTAATTTCGGCTAGCATAATTTCAAATTTCATCATTATACTGACTCAACTTCATCATTATACTGACTCAAATTTCATCATTATACTGACTCAGAAATTGTGCAGATGATTGTAAATCCACAGCAGCAAGTCAGTGGAGGAGAAAACAGTGATAAAAATGAGGAAGATGTAGCAGTCTCTCTATTGATAGGCTAATTAAGTGTATTCTAACCTAACCACTCTGTAATCTGGCAAACTCACTAATCCAGCACACTACAGGTCCCAATGATGCCGGATTAGTGATGGTCGACCTGTAGCATAATTCATCTGAATTTGATCTGTGCAGCAAGATATAGTATAGTATACTATTATTAACAGCTTTTCAGTGTTCTATTGTATGTCATTTCCTCACATTTTCATAAGCTGTCCTAGTATCTTCTAAGTTAAATAACCAGTGTAATCAAGCTTATTATAAAAACTACTTCTACAATAAAAAGAAGGGTCATTTATAGTATGAGCACCAGCTCTGTCCCAGTGAACAAATAAAACTTACAGATCTTCCCATAATACTGGAAGTAGGTTTTATTACCTGGGGTTTCTTTACATAAGGTTATGATGAGCTTACCTGATCTAACTGAAGTCTGGGTTTGTAGTCAGGCAAATTCATTCAAACCTCACTACTATGGTTAGGAGATCTAGCATCGGTAATGAATTGAATATTGAAGACAAGATACTGTACTATCTGTTATCTGTTAGTGGTTCTGATGATTATTTTTCCCATGGCCCAGTCTCAGATCTGGTCTCATAGGTTGGAAAGGAAAATACTGCATTACATGCATGATTAAGAACTATTAAGATGCACTTAGGAAAGTAATGTATAAACTGAATGTAAGTAAAAGTTTTTGGATTTATTTATCATTCTGTGTGTTCATAAGACAAAGAAAAGAACTGCAATTCCACAAGACTGTAAAAAGTTGAATGGGTTTCCATATCACACTCATTTGACAGGATAGTAGTACATCCCTGGATGGTTGCTGTCTATGAACCTACTACCTATCATGAGTATAGGTCTCTTCCTGTAGCAACAAATAGGTAATCATTAATGCATGCATGATGCATGTGTTGCCATTTACTATTAAGTACATACTCTGTATGAGCAGTAAATTATAATATTTTAACTTTTGCTACAGGCACATTTTCATTTGAATATGTTTTTTTTGGCAGAAAGGGTGTATTAAATTACGCCAAGATAAGTCGTCGAAGTAAACGGGTTGTGAGTGTGCGATTCTCACACACTCGAAGATGGTGGTGTGGATTATTGCTTGGTGTGGTCCTGGGCTGTGCTGTGGCAGCAACCATCTTAACCAGGCTTGATGGTAGGTACCCCCACTTTAATTAATTCACAGTAATCCTTTACTGTACAGTGTGTATTTATAGTACAGTTGTCCAACTATCTATTTATATAACCTATGACTTGCCTTTATTTTTCCATCCTTGGGAGCTCACCCCTAAAATTGATTAGCCAAAACATTAAAGTTTTCTGAGGGGTCCTGACAAAGCATATTTGTCTAGTTTATTATATAATCCTCATGCCCATAATAATAATAATAATAATAATAATAATAATAATAATAATAATAATAATCTATATTTCTACAAGTACATGATACAACTATGACAGACTTAGCTGACATCATTGACATAATATACAGAAAGTCATTGGTTATGCAGAACATTTTGAGCAACTTAGGTTAATTTTGTTTCCCAGGTTGTGACCCACAGCAGTTGTCTAACACCCAGGTACTTACTGCCTAGGTGAGCAGGGGCAACAGGTGTAAGGAAACCTGCCCAATGTTTCATTTGTACCGCAATTGATCCCTGGACTCTCAGTGTGTGAGCTGAGGATACTTTCAACCAATCCATGAGCACCCACCTTACCACATATACTCAACACTTTTTCCTTTTCAGAATGCTAGATCTTTAGCTATCACTCTAACCCCCTTTTCCTTGTCCTGTGCTCCACTTCTGACAAAATTACATTTGTTTCCCCATAACCCATCATTAGCCTTTTCTGCCATCTCATTCTTTCCATATATAACACGATTGAGTCCCCAAATTTGCATTCTTTAATTAAAATAGAGGAAATTAGTGCATAGTGGAGTGCCCACATTTGCAGGATTACATTTCTTGAGGTCCTGGCAAATTCAAAATACCATGCATATGCTTGAATACAGTGGTCATTTGAGTTATGATGGGCAATATTTGTAATAATTTTGAGTTATGATTTACGCTCATAAAGGAATTTAGTTTGAGTTGTGATGAAGAATTTCAAATACAATATTACACCATATTTTGTGTTAGCAAGTCATCAAGACCTCTAAAGTGTACAATAGACAGGCAGTTTCTCTAAAGATCAAACAAGAAATTGTCAAAAAACATGATGCAGGAGTTGGAATTAGTGCATTGGTGAGTCATTTCGGCTTTTCACAATCATCTGTCTCTCTTATTATCAACAAAAAGACATTATAAAAGATATGAAAGTGGCTGGCAAATCTAAGCTAGTGGGAGACGACTGATGCATTAATGGTCACATGTTGGTGTCTGTCGCTCAGGTAAGATTTCATGTATGAGAGAGCATGTCCTCTTCTAAATGTTCTAATTTGAGCCAGAGAATGTTGTGGTCTACTGCATTGAAGGCTTTTCTGAGGTCAGTAAAGAGGCCCATTGGAGATACACTACAGGGGACCCCCATTTTTCGTCCGGTGCGGAAATTGTACAATTCAGATTTCAAGCACTTTTTTTGGCAAAATTTTTCCCCAGGTTTTGTACATCCACTCGGAAATCGTCCATATCAGATGTGTCCACCTGCCCAGGACACCGCTTCTCATGCGTATCAGACTCAGTCTGCCTATCTCTCTCGTTGAGTTAGCAATACTCTGCACGTTCATCCATTGTTTTTTGTGCTTGTTTATTGATTGCGACTGAAATAAGCCACCATGGGGCCAAAGAAAGTTCAGAGTGCCAGCCCTTGATAAAGAAGGTGAGAAACACGACAGAATTCAAGAAAGAACTTGTAGAGTAAGTTGCAAAGTTTTATGGAGAAATATCACTACCACCCTCTACAAATGTAGAGGGTGGTAGTGATGGTGGTAGAGAGTGGTAGTGATGGCAAACAATCTAAGATGTTTAGAAGTTGTTGTTGGTGTGGATCAACGAAAATCAGTTAGCGGGAGATAGTTTTGTGGAGGCGATAATTTGCAAAGAGGCAAGGCAGTTGCATGCGGATCTCATAAAGAATATGCCAACAAGAGTCTTCAATAAAAATAAAACTGATTTAAATGTTCATTTATCCATTAAAATTAGTTCTTTATATTTATTTCTCATTGTTTTCTGTATGTAAAACTATAGTTTTTCTCTATAAAATGTATTTTTTGTTAATATTTTTGGGTGTCTGGAACAGATTAATTGGATTTACATTATTTCTTATGGGAAATATTACTTCTGTTTTCATCCATTTCGGATTACAGCCGACCTTCTGGAACGGATTAAGAACAAACACCAGGGTACGTATTACTGCACTGTCTAGAGAGGAGTAGATAGAGCCAAGCCCATGATGATTATCTTGAAATCGCTTGTGCTCTCTAGGCTGGAATACTGCTGTACACTAACGTCCCCCTTCAAGGCTGGTGACATTGTAGACCTGGAGAGTGTACAAAGAACTTTCACGGCACACATAAGTGTGATAAGGCATCTAAACTACTGGGAATGGTTGAAGGTCCTTGATCTGTATTCCCTTGAATGCATGCAAGAGAGATACATGATAATATACACTTGGAAGGTCCTGGAGGGATAGGTACCAAACCTGCACATGAAAATCACTCCATATGAAAGCAAAAGACTTGGCAGGAGATGCAACATTCCCCCGATGAAAAGCAGGGGCGCCACGAGTACACTGAGAGACAACACAATAAGTGTCTGGGACCCAAAACTGTTCAATTGCCTCCCAGCATACATAAGGGGGATTACCAATAGACCCCTGGCTGTCTTCAAGAAGGCACTGGACAGGCACCTAAAGTCAGTACCTGACCAACCGGGCTGTGGTTCGTACGTCAGCTTGCATGCGGTCAGCAGTAACAGCCTGGTTGATGAGACCCTGATCCACTAGGTAAGCATTTTCATTATTGCATCATTGGTACTTCATCCCTGCATGAAGCCAAACTGGCCCAGGTTAAGGATATGTTGGTTATGAAGTCATATATTTGTTTATATATTATTTTTCAAAGATTTTAACAGTAAAGTGAAGTTTGAAATTGGCCTGTAATTATTGACTAAAGTCGGATCACATCCTTTGTAGATTTGTGTAACTCTTGCTAGTTTAAGTATGTTAGGGAAAGTTTTGGTTTCAGTTGGTTTATTGAACAATGCTGTAATAATTGGAGATATAAGACGCTTTCTTGTATGTTAGTGGCAGTATGTGTGCATTCTTTCTAGCTTTATTTTTTAGTGACATACATATTATAGAGTTAACCTTGGCTGAAGTAATTGGGAATAGGTTCAGCAAGCTTGGATAGTTATCAGTGAGGTAATCTCTAATTTGGGCAGGAAAGTTTGGGATTTTGCTGGCTAGATTTATTTCTATAGTTGAAAAGAAGCCATTTAATTTATTTGGCATCTTCAAGGCTTGGAGGGAAGTTCATTAGGTTTAGTTAGAACTTTTTCTTTAGATTTAGCAAACTTATTAGTGCCCAGTATCTGAGAAAGTGTTTTCCAAGTCTTGTCTGTATCCCCCTCAATAAGATTGAATATATTGTCATAATACATCTGTTTTGACTTCTTCATGAGCTTTGTAAGTGTAATAGTACATCTCTTGGCTTGTTCTTAAGAGATTACTCCTAACCTCTACTGCTTCTCATAACCGTGTGTTTTGTCAGTGGACCTGAGGATGCTGTTGGTTAGCTATGGTCTGTTTAATCTCTCTATTGTCACACGTTTGGTTTTTAATGGGCAGTGTCTGCTGCTGTAGAGGCTTTGCATTGTGCTAGGAGTATGTGAGCACAGGAGTTAATGTCTTGATAATTGAGTGGTTCTCTCTGCCAGTCATTGTTGCTCATTGCCACTAAAGTTAATCACTGATGCCTCATCATGAAGCCTAAAGGAGATTTTAGTAGTTTTTCGGGGTAATTTTGATAAATTGGTAACTAGAAAGGTAGGCTAGTGATCAGTAGTATTGTCTGTGGTAATGCCTGCTTCTTGAGGAGCTGGAATGTTTGTCCGTATGTGGTCAAGCGACACTGCAGTAGTCTCAATTATTTTTGCAGGCTTGATTATCAAGGGTATTAGTAAGCAATTGTACATATTATTCAGGAAGTCTGCTACTTGGGAGTCTGCAAGATAGAATGAAGTTGAAGTCCCCAGCAAGTATTAAGTGATGTTTATTGATTTTTTTGCTAATGATTAGGTCCTTGAGGTTTTCACCAAAGTTGGTGTGTGGTGACATGCAGACAGCTTCTATTGCAAGAGGGGCCTTCAAGTTCTTGGTTGGAATTGTGCAACTATGTATTTTTTTAAATAATTTCAACTACTCAGATATGGGAAACTTGAAGAAATTAAAAATGTATCAAGGTATACAACAAATTCTAACCATACAGTAGAGCGGAAAAGTAATGTGAAGGACCTGGGAGTGATAATGTCAGAGGATCTCGCCTTCAAAGACCACAACAATGTATGTACCTCATCCACTAGGAAAATGATAGGATGGATAATGAGAACTTTCAAAACTAGGGATGCCAAGCCAATGATGATTCTCTTCAAATCCCTTGTGCTTTCTAAGCTGAAATACTGCTATACACTAATGTCCTCTTTCAAGGCTGGTAACATTGCAGACCTGGAGAGTGTACAGAGAACTTTCATGGCACACATAAGTACGATAAGGCACCTAAATTACTGGGAATGGTTGCAGGTCCTTGATCTGTATTCCCTCGAATGCAGGCGAGAGAGATACTTGATAATATGCACTTGGAAGGTCCTGGAGGGACTGGCACCAAACCTGCACACGAAAATCACTCCCTATGAAAGCAAAAGACTCGGCAGGAGATGCAACATTCCCCCGATGAAAAGCAGGGGCGCCACAAGTACATTGAGAGACAACATAATAAGTGTCCGGGGCCCAAGACTGTTCAATTGCCTCCCAGTATACATAAGGGGGATTACCAGTAGACCCCTGGCTGTCTTCAAGAAGGCACTGGACAGGCACCTAAAGTCAGTACCTGACCAACTGGGCTGTGGTTCGTATGTCAGCTTGTGTGCGCCCAGCAGTAATGGCCTGGTTGATCAGACCCTGATCCACCATGAGGCCTGGTCTCAGACTGGGTCGTGAGGGTGTTGACCCCTGAAACCTTCTCCAGGTAAACTCCAGGTATCTCTGGTTCAGATTGAATGAACATATTTCACCTCATTAGTGTAGTAGATTACTGTTCCCCTACCCTTTGGTCATGTCTTCAATGGTGTATGGCTGTGTACCCCAGTAAGTTTGAGATATCTGTAGTGTCATGGTTGAGCCAGGTTTCATTGAGAATAACGAGGGTTGAATTTGCCTTTAGTGACTCTAGAAGTGCAGAGATGTCATCATAGTGTTCACCTAGGGACCTGGCATTGTAGTTAAATATTGAGATGTTTTTGGTGTTTCTTTTTCGGGCCACCCTGCCTTGGTGGGAATCGGCCGGTGTGATAATAAAAAAAAAATAAAAAAAAGATAGTTTTGGTATGATTTGGAGTGTAATATTTGCAGTTCTAGTCTGCAGTGAACTGATTATTGTAAATCTCAGGGATGAGGTTTCAACTCTGGATCAATGATTATATTCACAAGTATACAATAATGTACAGTAATGCAGCAACCTAGTATACAAATACAAATGGCTAAAAAAAAATGCCAGTAAATATATAATGAGCAGCACAAAAGTATATACATACTGTACTTAAATATATAAAAAATATAACTAAAAATATAATTTGTAATACGTATATGTAAATATATGTAATACATGTATATATGTAATATAATTTGTAATAATTTAGAGTTAAGAATTAATCTAAGTCTGCCCGAAATGCCTAGCCATGCTAGGTGTCCTAGTGGCCCCCTCTGTAATTAGTATTTTATTACATGTAAACCACACAATAACCAAAATCTGTAAACCCCGCGTTGTAATCCTTATAGAGAATAAACTTGATTAATTGATTGATTGAAAAATATAGCTGAATACATGCATGCTATAAAGTACAGTGGTACCTTGGGATACGAACAGCCCAAAACTTGAACAATTGTGTAAGCGTATTTTTGTTAGTCTGAAACAGATTAATCTAATTTACATTATTCCTTATGGGAACAAATTCATTCAGTATCGGCACTTGAACAGCCTTCTGGAACAAAATAAATTTGTATCCCGAGGTACCACTGTATAAGGACAAAATCTAGTTATGATAAAGTAACCTATACATGTAATACTATATAAAGGTGTTCCTTACACTTATGAGGAAGGTTGTTACCATTGGTAAACTAGTAATTGTAAATAGTCAGAGATAGTGCAAATTCTTGGGAGTTGGGGAATATTGAATGATAGCTAATACAGTGGACCCTCGGCTGACAAACGCATCACATAACATTAAATCTGCCCACCGAAGTGTTTGAGCGTAAAAAATTTGGCCCAGCGTGATTCGTCCCGAACCTGTCTGTCCAGCCTGAGCGCCTGAGTGCCTCAGCTGCCCTGCTGTCATTGTTTACAAGCCAGGGTGGCCGGTTTCATGCATACATTCGATACATTTTGTATTATTCCATTGTTTATAGTGCTTGTAACTGCTAAATAAGCCACCATGGGCCCAAAGAAAGCTTCTAGTGCCAACCCTGTGGTAAAAAGGGTGAGAAATACTATCAAAATACTGTCATACCATGGTCAGCTGCTGCTGCACCATCGTCAGCTGTTCCTGCACCACCGTCAGCTGTACTACTCGAAGATGTGGAGAGACTGTTGTTGGTGTGGCTTAATGAGAAACAATTACTGAGAAACAATTAATCCTAGAGGGTTAGCCACCCAGGATAACCCAAGAAAGTCAGTGAGTCATCGAGGACTGTCTAACTTATTTCCATTGGGGTCCTTAATCTTGTCTCCCAGGATGCAACTCACACCAGTCGACTAACACCCAGATGAACAGGAAAAAATGCCTGGGACTAGTGCTCATATTGGTGAATTTAAGGCCAGCAAAGGTTGGTTTGAGAGATTTAAGAATCATAGTGGCATACACAGTGTGATAAGGCATGGTGAAGCTGAAAAATTCCAACCCCAACAAGTGTTCAGTTGTGACGAAACAGGCCTGTTCTGGAAGAAAATGCCGAAGAGGACCTGCATTACTCAGGAGGAAAAGGTACTCCCAGGACACAAGCCTGTGAAAGACAGGCTAACTTTCTTGTTTTGTTGTAATGCTAGTGAGGATTGCAAAGTGAAGTCTTTACTCATGTATCACTCTGAAAATCCCAGAGTGTTCAAGAAAAACAGTGTCTCATCACTCATCAATACTCTTCAGTAAAGGTAAGTGTCATTTTAACATTTATTTATATAGTTATTGTGCATGTCTCATTGTTTTCTTTGTAGGGAAATGTATATTTCATGAAAAAAAAAAATTTTTTTTAATACTTTTGGCTGTCTGGAACGGATTAATTGGATTTCCATTATTTCTTATGGGGAAAATTAATTCGGCTAACGATAATTTCGTCTAACGATGAGCTCTCAAGGAACAGATTAATATCATTAGCCGAGGGTCCACTGTACTCTGATAACATTGAAAAATTCAATTTTTAAACATTACTAATGAATATAAAACTATACAAATAAAAAAATGCTAAATAAAAGTGTAACTGCATGTATGAGATTGATTATTACCAATAGTATCTAATAAATATAAGTACGTAACATGAGGTAGTACAAATTTTCTTTACAAATTATTTCAAATTATTAATCTTTATTCAAAACTATTTTAACGAATTTGCTATTACGCTCACCTATTCTCTCACCTTTTCACTCCCTCCCACTTCCATTCTAATCTACATAGTTCTTAAAATTAAATGCTTATTACCTCCATTTGTCTTTCCCAGCTGGTCACTCAATATTTAACTACTGTATGTAATACCATGTGTTATGCAGGGTTCTGCATGACATTGTAATGTATATACAGTAGAGAAGGGTGCCATAATAGTATGAATTATAAAATTATGCTTTTCACTTATAACATTCATACTATTATGGCACCCTTCTCTACTGTATATACATTACAGTGTCATGCAGAACAATTTTATAATTCATAATGTGCATTTGGGGGTACTGTAAAGTACTACTTAAATGGTAATTATAAGGAAATCCTGCCAGGGATTTATTTTCCAACTGTGTTTTGGTTAGCAGATAACCATGGCTTGGGTAGTCATGTGTGGTCAGCATGGCTTGGAGGCTGGCGTGGGAGATGGCATGTATTTAAGCTAAGTTTTGTAGTTGTAGATGAATGGTTCAGAGAACCGACATGTTGATAAATTAGAAACAAGTGCAACTCTTGGGTATCTTTATTGAGGAAACGTTTTGCCACACAGTGGCTTCATCAGTCCATACAAAGGAGAATCGTGAAGAACAGGAGGAGAATGAGGTAATCAGTCCCTCAACCTTGAGTCAATGTGGTCAGTCCATCAATCTTGAATAGAATACGGCATATGTGCGGAGAAGTAGCTTATAAACCATAGGCAGGAGAGGTGCAGCAGTCGTAGGTGGTGTCACATTTGGCCAGTATTAAGTTCCCAAGAAGTTGCGGTGTCTGACAGGATTGTAGATGAATGGTTCAGAGAACCGACACGTTGATAAATTAGACACAAGTGCAACTCTTGGGTAATTTTATTGAGAAAACGTTTCATCACACAGCGGCTTCATCAGTCTATACAGTTTATAAGCTACTTCTCCGCACATATGCTGTATTCTATTCAAGATTGATGGACTGACCACATCAACTCAAGATTGAGGGAAAGATTACCTCATTCTCCTCCTGTTCTTCACGATTCTCCTTTGTATGGACTGTTGAAGCCACTGTGTGGTGAAATGTTTCCTCAATAAAGATACCCAAGAGTTGCACTTGTGTCTAATTTATCAAGTTTTGTAGTTGTGTACTTCTTGTGTTTAGCTAACTCAAGCCATAGGCTCTTCTATGGTTTACCTGTATGCTCACCTAGGCTCTGACATGGTCAGGGTGCTGTGGGATGAGTGAGGAAATAAGAAATGGGGTTGGTATTGGAGTAGTGAAGGCCGGGCACTGGCTAGGCCGAGTGTTCATGGTTTGCTGGACCTCCAGCTGCCTGTTCTTTTTTGTGTACCATTATTTGGGAGTTTAGGATAGGAGATATGTGAAGGTGTTTTCTACAGTGTGTATATAGTGTTATGATGAATAAATATATATTTTCCTAACTAGGAATTTTGCCTAACCCTCTGTTAACCAACCCATTGAAATAACAAATGTTGGTTTAGCACTTTCTATTTTGACTGGGGTAGCCCTGGGTGGCCTGTTTATGCCTGAGATGTGTGTAACTTTTACCTTTGCCCATAGACAAGGCTCTAGACTCCAGGTATCCCACATTTCTGCGTAACACTATGGTACTACAGTGCATAATGCTATATAAAAATTATAGCTTTTTTTTTTTTTTTTTTTTTTAGGCTCAGATCCCACAAATGTGCTAGGACTAACACCGCGAGAGGTACGCCTGGCAGAGCGGGTACGGGAAATGGAGCAGCAGAATCAGTTGTTAAGGAGGCAGCTGAGCATCTCCCAGAATCAACTGATACAAGCTTGGGGTGCTGAGGGGGAGGAGAACACAGACAAGCTGGGAGATGGCACAGGCAATGGAGAACAAGGTGCTACTAAGTGCAAAGAAAAGGTTAGAGAAACACAGTTATGTAAATATAATAGGGCTCAAACTTACAAAGTTAATTCATTCCTGAAAAATTTTAAGTTGAGTATTCAGAACTCAGAACCTATTTTCCCATAGACACCCATGTTATAATAGGAGATGCATTTCCAAGCTTTGATATTCCATATCTAATATTTTCTTCTTTTTAACCAAGACTGTTTACCCAATATTTTACATTTGCTATAGTTCCTTATCACTTACATATACTATACTAATAAACATTGTTTAATTAATGTACAGTAGGGCCTTGCTTTATGGCGTTTCGCCTTACAGTGTTCCACTAATACGGCGATTTCAAATTATGACCAAAACTTAGTATACGGTGAGCAGTCTTTCTAATACAGTGCTCCCCACCCGGTTTGTTTACATTCTCCATGAGCACATCTCTCCATCTATGATACTTTTTTTTCAAAATTATGTAATAAACATGTTACATAACATATAAACATGAGACATACACCCACAGTATAAAAATTGACATAAATATGAGATTTGTTTACCAAGCAGTTTGTAGGAGTGTCGGAAGAATTACGTTTTCTCTAGTCAAACACCAGTTAACTGTAGAAAAATATTCCTTTCGTATGCCTTCACTCTGTCCATAGCTATTCATGACCCTTTTGGGTTTAGTGCCTCTTTTTTATTATGATTATAATAATAATAATAATATCATTCACTCTAAAAATAGTGTGTTGCATGAGAATGGGAGTGTTGCTGTTTATTTATTCTGTACTAACTTGTCAGAGCATCATTCCTTCTAAAAATGATGTTACATGAGAATGGATGTGTTGTCTTTATTTATTCTACTGTAAAACAGTGGAGACAACTTGTACACAATGTAAGGTGTTTGTATGAATGTGCATGAACCATAACCAGACACTGAGTCCATTTGTTTAAATAGTACTCTGCATGGGTGGGGTGGCCAGGTGGGCTACCCTACCTCCCACACCTGACTTTGTACAAATAAATACTTTTCACCTCTCACCCTACATTAACCCCTTGACTGTCGCAACCCCCAATCCTGAGGTGTCTCCTGGTGTCGCAAAATTTAAAAAAAAAAAATTTATTTTTTCTTATGAAATGATAGAGAATCTTTTCCCAATTGTAATGACACCAAAAAAAAAACGAAATTTGATGGAAAACTGATGGAATTATGCTCTCGCGAAGTTAGCGACCTCGGCGATATTTACAAATCGGCGATTTTGCCCACTTTGAGCCCTATTTTCGGCTAATTCCGTTGTTCCAGTCGACCAAACTCATAGCTATTTCTTTAGAACTCCATTTTTTCTATCGATTGAGTACAAGAAACTGCCCATTTACCGATTTCAACTACCCAATAATGTGGTCAGAAATTTGAAATTTTTGGGCCAATTTCACAAAAATTAAAAAATATGACAATTTCAAAATAAGGTCCAGAATGAACAATGCAGACATTCCTGGCTCTAAAATAACATTTTCTTTGTTCATCAGTCATGTCTCCAGGCCCCTCTGATATTACTCTTGCTTTCTATTTTGAATTTTTATTCAAACAAAAAATAGAAGACTTACTATTATGCAGACTACTGCAATACTGTAATAATTGTATAAATAACATCAACCCATTCATGACTGCATATTAGAATGGCTAGTTGGACATTTATTGGACAATGACATCATTTGTTTGCTTTTGAACATTGGCAAAAATCAAGCATTTCCCCTACTTTGAGCTCCATTTCCAGGTTCTTTTTATAGTAAAAAAAAATCAAAATCACCTCTATTTCTATAATGTTTTCCATTCTGTCAAATGAGACCAAGAAAACGAGAATACAACCATAAATACTATACGAAAATGGACCACAAAGTCAGCATTTTAATTTCTCATTATGCACTGCGTGCTCCAGGATTTTTTTTATATGGTGCACACTGACCACACAGACCCATTCTCTCACATGTGGCCTACCAGCTTTCTCCTGCTTGATTTGAAGCCGCTAGAATTTATGAGCATACATACGTCAAACACGGTACCTCGTAAGACGTATATATACGGCCGCGACAGTCAAAGGGTTAAGACCATTAAGACTACAAATATTTTATGGTAAGTAATGAGTGTACTGTATATACATTTTATCACTCTAGGGCACTTTAAGCATCATAGTATATTATGTGTGGGTGGGGTCTGTTCCATGACCTTGCTCGCATCTGGATTTGCTAATTTGCAGAGTCAATTTTCCTCATTTAAATTAACTGAAATGGAATTACAGTGAACCCCTGCCGTTCGCCAGCCGCGACTTTCATGAAATCCGACTTTCAGCAACTTTTTTCGCCAAAATATAGCCTCGCGATTCGTGATTGGCCTCGTGATTTGGTGACCGTCCGGTGCGCATCCACCATCAGCGCACACACAAAACCAGTCTCCTGCACCATTCACACTCAGTGTGCCATTGTTTACCAGCGAGTGACCATCACCCCATGGGTTCATACGATACATTTCATAATAATCCATTGTTTTTTATGCTTGCAACTGCTTAATAAGTCACCATGGGCCTGAAGAAAGCTAGTGCCAGCCCTTTGGTAAAGAAAGTGAGGAACACGATTGAATTCAAGAAAGGAATCATTGAAAAATTTGAGAGTGGAGTGCGTGTTACAGAGCTTGCCAGGATGTATGGCAAACCCCATTCAACCATCACTTCGATTGTGGCGAAGGGAAAGGAAATTAAGTGTGCTGTTGTTGCCAAAGGGGTAGATATGCTGACAAAAAAGAGATCACAAACTCTTGAAGATGTGGAGAGGTTATTGTTGGTGTGGATTACCCAAAAACAGTTAGCAGGAGATAGTATTATGCAGTTGATAATATGTGAAGAGGCAAGGCAGTTGCATGATGACCTCGTAAAGAAAATGCCTGCAACGAGTGGTGATGTTTGTGATTTTAAGGCCAGCATAGGCTGGTTTGAGAGATTTAAGAAGTGTAGTGGCATACACAGTGTAGTAAGGCATGGTGAGGCTGCCAATTCAGACAAAAGGGCAGCTGAGAAGTTTGTACAGGAGTTTAAGGGGTACGTAGACACTGAAAAATTCAAACCCCAACAAGTGTTCAATTGTGACGAAACAGGCCTGTTTTGGAAGAAAATGCCATAGAGGACCTACATCACGCAGGAGGAAACGGCACTCCCAGGACACAAGCCTATGAAAAACAGGCTAACTCGGATGTTTTGTAGTAATGCTAGTTGGGATTGCAAAGTGAAGCCTTTACTGGTCTATAACTCTGAAAATCCCTGAGTGTTCAAGAAAAACAGTATTGCCAAGAGTAAATTGTGTGTGATGTGGAAGACTAACAGTAAGGCATGGGTCACAAGGGAAATTTTCCTTGATTGGTTTAATGAAGTGTTTGGCTTCAGTGTGAAGAAATACCTCCTGGAAAATAAATTGGAACTCAAGTGCCTCCTGGTAATGGACAATGCTCCTGTTTATCTTCCAGATTTGGAAGAGCAAATGGTGGAGGAGTTTCGTTTTATCACAGTGAAGTTCTTGCCCCCTAATACAACTTCTCTCCTCCAGCCCATGGACCAGCAGGTCATTTCAAACTTCAAAAAGCTGTACACCAAAGCAATGTTTCAAAAGTACTTTGAAGTGACACTGAATTGACCCTAAGAGAGTTCTGGAAAGATCATTTCAGTATCCTCCGTTGCATAAACCTTATAGGTAAGGCTTGGGAGGGAGTGATTTGCAGGACTTTGAACTCTGCTTGGAGAAAATTATGGCCAGAATGTGTACAAGAGAGGGACTTTGAAGGGTTTGGGGCTGACCCTGAGGAAAGTACAGTGGACCCCCGGTTAACGATTTTAATCCGTGCAAGAGGGGTAATTGTTATGCGAAATAATCGTTATGTGAATGAATTTTCCCCATAAGAAATAATGGAAATAAAATTAATCCGTGCAAGACACCCAAAAGTATGAAAAAAAAAATTTTACCACATGAAATATACATTTTCCCACACACAAAGAGAAGGATACATGCACAATAGTAGAGTAGTACATGCACAGTATATATTGTGCATGTACTACTCTACTAAATGAAGAATAAATGACACTTACCTTTATTGAAGATGCAGCAATGACTGATGAGACACTGTGTCCTGGGAGTGCCTTTTCCTCCTGAGTACTGTAGGTCCTGTTTGGCATTTTCTTCCAGAACAGGCCTTATCACACTGTGTATGCCACTACGATTCTTAAATCTCTCAAACCAACCTTTGCTGGCTTTAAATTCACCAATATGAGCACTAGTTCCAGGCATTTTTCCCTGTTCACCTGGGTGTTAGTCGACTGGTGTGGGTTGCATCCTGGGAGACAAGATTAAGGACCCCAATGGAAATAAGTTAGACAGTCTTCGATGACATTGACTTTTTTGGGTTATCCTGGGTGGCAAATCCTCTGGGGTTAATTGTTTCTTGGTATTCTCAATAAGCCACACCAACAACGGTGCTACAGCAGCAGCAGCAGCTGACGGTGGTACAGCAGCAACAGACGGTGGTACAGCAGCAACAATGCTACAGCAGCAGCAGACGATGCTACAGCAGCAGCAGCAGCAGACGATGCTACAGCAGCAGCAGCAGCAGCAGACAATGCTACAGCTGCAGCAGACGATGCTACAGCAGCAGCAGACGATGCTACAGCAGCAGCAGCAGCAGACGATGCTACAGCAGCAGCAGCAGCTGACAGTGCAGCAGCAGCAGCTGTACCACCAATAGTAGCGATACTTATCAATGATCGTTTTCTTCTTCTCTATTGTAATTCTCACCCTTATTGCTGTAGGGTTGGCACTAGAAGCTTTCTTGGGGCCCATGGTCACTTATTTTCCAGAAAAAGCACCGAAAACGCTGTAATAATACGAAATATTCCGATTGTATGCTTGGATGTTACCGCGGAGGCTGGCTGGTAAACAATGCCACCGGCGGAACATGTGAGCGTGGATCAGGCCGCACATTGGACGCGTCT